AAGGGTGCTGACGGCACCCGGCCTCCAGGGCGTATGCCCGTGGCCGCCCCCGAGGCGCGCTACACGCCAAGCACGACACCCCTTGCCGCGTGCAGTTGAAGAGGGATCCGACCCTCGTCATCTAACGTGCATTGAAACCCCGGTTGGATTGACTTATCGGCACTAAGTGCGTTTCCTGCTTGGCCGAAAAGGCATCCACCAACTAAAGAATGAATTTCGACCTTTAGTCCGATGAAAACAAAGTTGTATGTAGGTGACAATGCACCATTCACCGGCCACTTCAGGTTACGAAAATGATGATGAGATACGCTGGGGTAAACAACACTTGGCACCATTTCGGTGATTGTGGAAACGCCAAGCGTATAGGTCGTTCTAGAGGACACCGGAATTGGGGCCGCGTTATTTTAAAAAAGTGTTATTAAACAGCTCCGATTTCTTTCGGCGGAAGTTCGCTTCTGCTTTGCCACGACAGAGCAACCACAACTAAAGAATGAAAATGACCTGAGGCGATGAAGACAAACGTTAGTATGTAGGTGACAGATGCACCATTCAGCGGCCGACTTCAGGTTACGGAATGATGATAGACACGCTGCGTAAACACAACACATTTTGCACCAATTCGGTGAAAATTGTGGAAACGCCAACCTCATCATGGCTCGTTCATAGGAAGGACACCGAATCTGGGGCCGGGTGGTATTATAAACAAGTGGCGTTATAAACAAGCTCCGATTGTTCTGGGGACTGGAGGGGCGCTCACGCCTCGCCCCCGCAGTGCCGACAGCAGACGACAGCAGCGCGCGTATTGGGTGGCTGGAATTGGCGCTGGAACTCGGCGCGGCGCGTCCGCGGCATTTTGGCGATGCGAATGTGCCAGCCACGCCAGCCGTGCCAGCCATCCCTCGTACCTGAGTGTAATGCGCTCGCGGCCCGCCATGTCGATAACGATTGTTTTGTCGAAAACGGGCAAAAGTAGGGCGCGGCCGGGACATGGCCGGGCACGCACTGTTAAAAATGTTATGAATTTTCATTACAAATATGCATTGAAAATTCATGAACGCCATTAAATTTCATAGCGGCCATAAAATTTCATAAATATAATGAAATGTCAGAACACATTCCATGAAACGTTATAATATCTCCTTGAAAAATCAATTCTGCAATGAAACGTCAAGAGATTTGATGAAAAGTCAAAACGTGAAAGTACAAATTTAGTGTGGTTCTGAAAATTTATAACCAAGATACAAAATTTTATGTCGGTCTTTGACTTGTGATGGGCAGGTTTTGATGGCTCTTACATTGCCCGGGTGGAAGGAACTTCAGGTTTGACTGAAGCCGCCGTGCTGTCCATAAGCGCTGCTGACGGCACCGGCCCGCCTCCGCCCCGAATCCACCGCCGGCCCGTCGGCCGTCCGAGCCGTCCCACGACCGACGACAGCGGCTGCACGCGTGACTTGAAATACATGCAATCAGGTGTTAGAACAACGCAGGCGTATGCCAAAAAGAACTGCCTTAGGCCCTATATTCTAACGCCAAAGCTATCCCTTGTTCAGTAGAAGTAGCAGTAGCACCATTGTCGAGGAAGGTGCGTGCATGTCACCCTGGATCATAGGCATGAGCTCAACAGGATCTAGGTGCGTTGAATGAAACACCGCCCTGCCGAGGCCATGGCCTACCGAGGCCTAAAGGTGTTTACATTCTACGCACCTTGAGTCCTGTGAGCTCAGTGCCTATGTCCAGGGTGTGTACAATGCACGCACCTTTCTTCGACAATGGTCACATGCTACTTCTACCTGCAAAAGTGCTCAATGGGGTATACTCTTTGGCGTGTAGAATCAAGGCTTAAGGCAGTTCCATTTCTCTGCAAGCGTAAGAATAACGTCTAGACACCTGGATTGGAGTGTACCGACCCCGTCATCTAACGTGTTTTGAAACGGTTGATTTACTTTTCGGCACGAAGTTCTGTTTTCTGCTTGTGCCACGACAGAGCAACCACAACTAAAGAATGAAAATGACCTGAGGCGATGAAGACAAACGTTAGTATGTAGGTGACAGATGCACCATTCAGCGGCCGACTTCAGGTTACGGAATGATGATAGACACGCTGCGTAAACACAACACATTTTGCACCAATTCGGTGAAAATTGTGGAAACGCCAACCTCATCATGGCTCGTTCATAGGAAGGACACCGAATCTGGGCCGGGTGGTATTATAAAAGTGGCGTTATAAACAAGCTCCGATTGTTCGGGGACTGGAGGGGCATCACGCCTCGCCCCGCAGTGCCGACAGCAGCGACAGCAGCGCGCGTATTGGGTGGCTGGAATTGGCGCTGGAACTCGGCGCGGCGCGTCCGCGACATTTGGCGATGCGAATGTGCCAGCCACGCCACCGTGCCAGCCATCCCTCGTACTGAGTGTAATGCGCTCGCGGCCCGCCATGTCGATAACGATTGTTTTGTCGAAAACGGGCAAAAGTAGGGCGCGGCCGGGACATGGCCGGGCACGGCGAAGCGGCGAAGCGGCGAGTGACGTGACATGATAGCCGCGTCCGCCTGCCGAACAGAGTTGCGGGGCGAGGGGGGCGGCGGGGGCGGCAGCGATCGGCTCTGGTCTTGACGCTTTTGCGCTCACTGCCGCCGTGCTGCAGGTTGATTCTAAACAGCGCTTCAACGCTCCATCCTTGTCGTCGCGGTCCCTGCGACCGCCCCATAGAGTGCGAGAGAGATGCCGCGCCGGACGGAACGGATGGCCCCGCCCTTGCCCGCGCCCTTGCCCGCGCCCTTGCCCGCGCCCGCCCCGTGACAGGAAAAAGCCCGGCACCGTCTGCATCATCAGCCTCGTTAAGCGCCGAGCGTCGAACCGAACGCGAAATGATGGTTGGCCGCATCGCGCCGCATCGCGGTGCAGCCAGCGCCCCATTAAAAGCAGTGCGTCGCACCCTGTGTCTCGTTAGAGGGGAGAGAGAGAGGGGGGGAGGGGTGGGGAGGAAGAGAGAGAGAGACTTGAATGTAGGATATTTTTGAGAAACGGGCGAAATATTTATTGATACATTGAAACAAAAATGGCTACTTCCTTGCTGCCGACTCCATGAGGCCGTTGCTCGCTCGAGGACGCACGTTGGCGTGCACTAAGTGCCGTGGCAACAGGCGGCAAGCAAGTTTTGTTGACGTTGACCCAAGAGTTTCTTTAGAGGACAGTCCGGGGAGCGCAGCGGCCGGACTGCCGGGCCGAAGCCCTCGCTGCATCTGCGTGGCTGCATCGGCGTGCCCTCCCCTGGCTCTCCCACAGACGAAGGCTCTCTCTGCCATTACTTTTCGCTCGAGAGAGGAAAAAGGAGGGTCTCTGCGACCGAGCCGGGCCTCGACCACCACTCCGCAGATGGACACGGAGGAGTTGGCGATATTCTGATTGCACAGTGACTGAATTCTCCGAATCCACCTCGGTCGACAGGCATGTCTCTGTCGCAGCGACCATCTCATTTCTTTTGTGCGACCTGGAAACGGAGTCTCATCGCGTCTTTTCCCGCTGGGCGCGTTGCGAGTCATGGATTTCCGTGTCGTCCCCTCGCTCCACGCTGCGGTCCACTCTGCGGTCTACGCAACGCCCTCGGCCACGCCGAGGCAGCGGCGCAGTCGGACGCAGCCGGACGCAGTGCCGTGATTAGCCGAGAGGCAGATGCGGAGCGCCGCCCTCGCCCCGAAACGCGTCTGGAAGCGGCTTTCGAACACCCTGCGACTGACAGGCGGCGCGGCGCGCGGCCCCAGGAGCCGTAGGTGCCAAAAGACGAGGCGAGGTGCGTGGCTGTCGGCCGAGCGGCCCCAGCGGCGCAGCGTCTCCAGCAAGCCGTTCTGATCGGCGCACAGTGGGCCAGAAGACCGGTAGAGGCGGCCAAAACTCTAGACGCGTTTTGAGCTCCAGAGTCGCTAAACAGGACTCGAATCGAGCGTGTGACCCCACCAATGGATTCCTCGTTCGGAGAGCAATCTATTGGTGGGATCACACGTTAATTTCGAGCCCCATTTAGCCACTCTGGAGGTCAAAACGCGTCTAGAGTTTTGGCCGCCTCTACCTGTCTTCTGGCCCACTGTGCGGCCCGCGAGCGCCAGCTGCGCTTCTTAGCCAGGTGCGCTTCGCTCGGCGTCGCTCGGCTTCGTTCAAGGCGGGCTTGAGCGCCGCAGTCCTTGCAACAACTCGGGACAGAGTCAGGAGATCTCATCACTTTTGGCCTATTTTCCCATTGTTGCCCAAATCTGCCAGCCTGGTAGGGTGCCCAATCGAAATGGGTGGTGTCGGTAGACCCTAACCATCAGTCAGTCAGATCGATTCCGATTCCGATCACCGACATAAAAATAATTGATCTCAGTCTCGAGCTAAGAACTTTGTCAGTGAATGCCGTGATCATGAGGTCGAATGTTATGAATGATCCACGACCACCGCGGAAACTTTTCGCGAGCGTTTGCGCGAAGACCACTGAGTCTTCACTGCTAATCCAAGTGCGGACTAGGTTACTCGAAGGAAACACTAGGAAACAAGGACCAAGTTGTGGTCTGCACTTAAATATGGCGGTGGGCGTGCAATGCTGGACGGATAGACGGCAGTGTAGACAACGGCTCGGCCCTCCTTTCCCCACTCTACCTTGCGTAGAACTTAACGCGCACTGAACTAGCAAAGATCCAGTTAGACAAAAGGTGGATTGAAGCACAATAAACAAAAAACGAAAAAAATGAATTAAATGCCAAAAGGGGGTAATCAGCTCCATAGAAGTTTGCCATTTTCAACCTTGGAGAGCAAACTAACTCGGTGCTCGGTCAGTACCTTAAGTCCATAGAAGAAGAATAAACGTTTCGATTGGTATAATATTTACACTTTTTAACAATTAAACTCTTTATAAATGTTTCTACTGGATCAATTGGACCTATGGATCTATTGTTGGCGCACTCAAGCAGCGGGTAAATGGAAATGCCCGCAGCAGGCGCAAGGTGGGGGCGAATGGACGTGCTCACCTCGCGTTGTCACTGCATGTCGTATCCACGCGTATCCAAAGGAGCGCACAAAGGCCTAAAGCACCACTGACAGACTGTCACGCGACAAAGCGCGAGCAAAGCGACTAGGTACGCTCGTCTCGCGGCGAACGGCGTCGCGGTACTGGCTTGTGCCTTGTGCCGCAAACACGGGCACGCCGGGGCACGCCAGGGCACGCCAAGGCAGTGCATGGGCACGGCGCGGTCCAGGCTCGGCGGCAAGCACGGCCAAGGCACGGCCAAGGCACGACGGACTCAGGTAAGGGGCGAGGAGGGCTTAGCAAGGTAAAACCGTCCTGAGGTGGAGGGGACTCCGGAGGGGCCAGCCCACACAGCCCGGCGAGGCTGCACAAGGCCCCACCAGGCCCCACCAGGCCGCGTTACATCCATGGCCGCCGCGCGAGGCCCCACGACGCCCCGCCAGGCCCCGCTCCGGCCCGGTGCTGCCGCCGAGACGGTAGGCCACCCAACAGACAGCCGTGTCGGGCAGCGGGCCGCAGAGCTCGAGCCGCGGCTGAAGTGCCAATGCTTGCCCGCCGTTTCTTTCCCGGCCAGCGATTCCTACTGCTCCACTATGGAGGTACTCCGTGGAATGTCAGTCTCACTTAGGGCTCCTCTCTGTCTTCCTCTCCCCGCAGCCAGCGCAGCCAGAGCAGCCAGCAGGGCTTCCGTCCCAGCCAGGCATGTAGGGCCGGTAAAGGGTCGGCTGTTGAGATGCGGCCGCCTCCCCCTGCCCCTTATTGGGTGCATGGAGGGCTGGATCGAGTGGATTGCCCCGGAACACCGCTACCCGCTCAAGACGCCCAGGCCGTCACTGGCCGCCAATTAAGGCGGACACATTGGGAGAGAAGATAAACTGGGAAGAAGAGATTGATCGCACCGCGCTCGCATCCGCCCCCACCACTGAGTCAGTCACAAGCCCGCCATCAAACGAGACGAATATCGCATGACTGATTCAGTCAAGAACCCGGTAAAGACACCCGTATGTGAAACATACAAAACAGCGAATTTCAAGAATGTAAGAGTACTAGACCACTCAGCCGTATCACCATTCACCAAATTCCCCCGAAATCCCTTGTAAAACGTCTAAGACGAATTCTGTTGCATTTTTAATCCCGTCACTGTGGTCATCATACTGCCCGCCCTCACTGCCGCGAGCCCTTCCCCACCCCTCTATCAGAGCGCGTTAGGGAGGGGGTTGTTCGGACACGGGGCGGGGCGAGGCGAGGCGGGGTGAGTTGGGGCGGAGCTCGGGCCGCAGCTCGAGGCCGTGGTGGGGCTGCTGGTCCAGGGACGCTGCGGCCTCGTTCCAGTCGTGCTGCAGTCGTCGAGAAGTGAGGCAGGAAGCCGAGAAGCTCGTCCGACGCAACCCCCACAGGCTCCACGACTCGCTCCACGAGCCCCGCGGCGATCCCTCCGTGGGCCCTCTTCAGCTGCGTAACAGGTAGGGTGCGGGCGGCGGGGAAGGACAAGGAAAGGGCGCGGAAGGGAGACCTGTTGCTGCGGGCACCCTGCGACGCCCATCGCGTTGTTTCGTGCGCCAAGTCATGGAACTTTTCCGCGAAGTGATACAAATTTCCCCAGCCAAAGTGAAAAGTGCAATAGGAATCAGGCTTTCCGCGCTGAGTGCCGTTTTCGTCCGCCGTCCGCTCAGGGTGTGTTTGCGTTATCCGCTGAGTGGCTGCCGTGGCCGCCGAGACCCCCGCCGTGGGCGCCGAGGCCCCCGCCGTTGCTGCCGAGGCCTCCGCCGTGGCCCCCGAGGCCTCCGCCGTCGCCGCCGAGGCCTCCGCCGTCGCCGCCGAGGCCCCCGCCGTTGCTGCCGAGGCCTCCGCCGTGGCCCCCGAGGCCTCCGCCGTCGCCGCCGAGGCCCCCCGCCGTTGCTGCCGAGGCCGCCGCCGTGGCCCCCGAGGCTGCCATGGCTCAGGCATACCTCTTCGCACGCTGTTTGACGCGTCCGCCGTTCCACACGCGTTTGTCTGTCCGCTGAGTGTCCGTAGCGCAGCGCTGAAGTCTGATAGGAATCGTAAAATGTGTGTCGCCGTCGCCGGCTGGAAACAAAAAATTGCATCCCCCTCGGATGTTCTCAAAACTGGCATAGCTCGCGAGGCAAAAAAAAAGTTCTTGGATATTTAGTATGAAGTCGATAACATCACGTGATCGCAGAACGCCGTTTCTTTCTTGTCATGAAGAAAACTGCGGAAAAATCGTGTGCGGAGTGGCTGAGGAAGAGGGTTGGATTATGTCCTGTTCTTTCTCTCGGGAGGTCGTTGAAGCCCTACTCTTTTGTGTAGCGACACAAATTGGTCAGCCCGTCCCACATTTCATATTATTACATGTGACCCCAAGTACGTAGCTTAAAGGAGAAGTCACTAGGGTCTGAAAACTGTTTTCTTGAATTCGAATCGTTTCTCTGAATGGAGAAATACCTATGTTCGCCACGTGAGTGCGGAGCGCTTAGAACGCACAGCGTATCAGACAATATGCCCATCCTCCAGTATTGACAACGTAAATATTACGCTTTGGGTCAATATAAAATCGATGCGCCAGGTGACCTGGAACCTCAAAGGGAAGGTGTTTTTGCCTCCCGCATGCAGGCGAGTGGCTAGACTTTTAGGTAGGTGACCTAGTTTCTAGCTGACCAAGGCACCTAGATTCTGGAAAACCTATGGCCAGCCAGTAGAGTAGGAAATGTGTCATGCACGATATAATGTCGCCTTCGGCGCTCGTAAACGTGGGGCAGGCGACAAAGGCGCACAGTTTCTGAACACCCACTTCTCGGAATGAACTCGACTGTCGGCCGCGCACCGCGCCGTCCCCAGGCAGCCGTCCCCAGGGAGCCCTCTCGCCGCGCTAAGCTCTCGACTGAGCCCCGTGCCGCCCCGAGTCTGTTTGCATGCCTCTTCTCACTCTCTAAATCCATTGGTGGCACACATGGTGCTCAAGGCGTCAATCACGCGCCTCAGGCTAAAAGGTGGCACAGAACATAACGCCAATGCGCACCAATCAGACCGTATGTAAAAGGCGTCACGAAAAAATTACCGCCAATTACGATCCCACTTTGTAGCACGAAGGCGGTAGAGCTCTCAGGAGGTGCATTCAGTTCTAGGTGGAAAGTCTGAAATTTAGACTTCTGTCGCCAATTGACTTAGTTCAGTGGACTGAATCCAAGGGGTAGGTCTCTCTCTCTCTCTCTCTCTCTCTCTCTCTCTCTCTCTCTCTCTCTCTCTCTCTCTCTCTCTCTCTCTCTCTCTCTCTCTCTCTCTCTCTCTCTCTCTCTCTCTCTCTCATTCATGCTTCATTCATGCTTCATTCATGCTTCATTCATGCTTCATTCATGCTTCATTCATGCTTCATTCATGCTTCATTCATGCTTCATTCATGCTTCATTCATGCTTCATTCATGCTTCATTCATGCTTCATTCATGCTTCATTCATGCTTCATTCATGCTTCATTCTCTTTCTGTCTCTGTCTCTCTCTCTCCCACTTATGGGCCTGTGCCACATAGGTCGTGCGAGAGAACGAGCCACCTCCTCCCCTCGCCCCGCCCTTTCTCCAAAGCAGCCTGCAGAGTCGAAGGGCCCAGGGCGGCCCAGGGCGGCCCAAGGGCTGCGCCACCCTAATAGAGTCCAGGTGGGTAGGCGTCAAGGGGCAATGCCGTGCTAATCGACTCTGAGCACCAAGAGTAGCTGGAAGGGCGAGTAGGCACCCTTCGTCCTGTAATCGTGCCCCCCCCTTCCCCTCATCCCCCTCACCCCACACATCAAGGGTCCGGGTCGCCCCGCGAGCGATGAGTGGAGGAGTCAGCGAGCAGTGCGTTCAGGCATCGAATGATTGTCTGGCTGGGCGGGGCCGCAGGGTCCGCAGGTCAGTCGGCCAGAAAGCACCTCAACGCGTGTCTTCCACATTCGCTAATGAGATATGTGCACTGACACGTGATGCTCGCCAGAATGCGGCTTGTCGTGTCCCGTGCGTTTGAACGTGACACGCTTGTCCCATGTCCCATCGGTCCACAGTCCACACAGCGCGTCTTGGGATGGGAACCAGCCGGGATACCCGTGCACGCGATCGGCGCGGCGAAGCGCGAAGCCCAGGGCAAAGCAATGCGAAGCAATGCGAAGCAATGCCGAGCCGCGATCCTGTTGCTTCGCGCTTCGCGCCCCTCGTCGCGCCCCTCGTCGCGCCCCTCGTCGCGCCCCGCCCCCGCCGTCGCTTCAACCCCACCCTTCCCCGCCGAGCGCCGCCGCGGATCTCCGCTTGGCTCTCCACAAGACAGAGAATCCTCACTTGATCCGTCGCGCCGGGCTCGGCCGGGGGAGTCCGCCGGGCTATCGCAGCTCGGAGCTCGGATTCGTGCGTTGCAATAATCTGCTTGGGATGCGGGCTGTGTGTGGGGTCGGAGAGCATGGGACGGGGATGGCGCTAGCAAATAATACACAGCGCCTCGCCACCGTATCGAGCCGGGGAGTGAGTGAGTGCAACGCGCGCCGCGGAGTGCACCGCAGAGTGCACCGCACGGCACCGCAGACGTCGCGCCGGCCAAGCGCCTGGTGCTGGCCCTGCTGGCCCGGCTGGCCCTGCTGGCCCTGGTGGCCCTGGTGGGGGCAACCTCGACGCCGCCGGCCGGTCCCTCCCGGCCCCTCCCGGCCCCTCCCGGCCCACCCGGGCTCACTGGCGTTAAGCGACCCGTGCTAAAGCTGATGATCAAATTTTCGTGTCAGTAATCTCATTAGCTCACCGAGTTAGCACTGTCTGGTGACCCGCTGCGACGCTAAAATCACTTTGTCTCGCTCAAGAAACTTCTGGACCAATCGATGCATCTTTCGTTGCCATGGCCGGTGTACCGGCTTGGCGGATAGGGCAAACCGACCACTCACCCAGTCCCCAGCCCCATCTCCGCCGGGGCGGATGAGGGGTGGAGGGTGGCCAAGAGGGTTGACATAGAGACAAAAAGTTAAAAGTGGAACCGGGAGTCGGTGCGGCCTGGTGCGGAAGGTGAGTGGGCCAATAGAGGGCGCAGTGCGAGCGCAGTGCGCGCCACCAAAACTGAGCTGGCCACTAGCTTGAGTGCGTGTTGCCGCGTGTTGCTGGAGTGTCCGCGGAGGGCCCCCTAAACAACAAAGTTCTCCTCTTATCCCGGGATTTTTTCAGAATTTATTTTAGACTGGCCATATTATTGTCCTCAAGGAAGAAGGAATTTTTTTGAATGGCTCCAGTCCAAATTTTCTTATCACCAAACCTTTCGACAAGTTTTGATGTTGGTTGTTTTGGTGGACGGGCCAGACAGACAGACAAACAAACAAAACACACTCACACAAACACGCGAGCACGCACGACGCTCCCCCCTCCCTCACACACACCCCTGCGCGCGCGTACTCTCTCTCTCTCTCTCTCTCTCTCTCTCTCTCTCTCTCTCTCTCTCACACACACACACACACACAGAGGGAGAGAGAGAGTGCGCCCAGGCCTGCGCGCGCGTGTACACTCCCCCGCTCTATCCCTCCCTCTATCTTTCTCTTTCTCTCTCTCTCTCTATCTCATACACACACAGTGGGGGAAACTGTATCACCGACACGAAGTCCCATGTCATATTAGTGTGCTTACACAATAAAGTAGTTTAATTTAAATCAATAAAGGAATTCCTTTGTACAATTTATGTACGAGGTCACGCACGGTTTTTCTCAAACGTGCCTTTCGTACAAATTTATAGCGATTTCGCACGAATCTGTGCTATGGCGCCGACAAATTTGTACAAAATAGTTCACAGGTTTAAACATGTGTGAGAGCACGTACAAAAATGTACAAATGCATTAAGTGTGCATCCATCAAAGATGAAGTGAGCCGCTCTCACACGGGGATGCTTGGATCACAGGATTCCAGTCAATTTCTCGCCATTAAAGAAATTTGATTTGATTTCCAGGTTCCTTGGTGTTCAGCGAAGAAGGTGCGATGCCCGTCAAGGAGTCTACTCGCTCCTCTCGCCGGGTGGCTCGGCGCATGGCCAAGCCAAACCCTGGTGCCAGCACTAGCAGGATGACCAGCCAAGACCCTGCTGCCGGCCCTAGCAAGATGGCCAGCGAAGACCCTGCTGCCGGATCTAGCAAGATGGGCGACCAAGACCGTGGTGCTGGCCCTAGGAAGATGTCTAGCCAAGACCCTGATGCTGGCCCTAGGAAGATGTCCAGCCAAGACCATGCTGCCGGATCTAGCAAGATGGGCGACCAAGACCCTGATGCTGGCCCTAGGAAGATGTCTAGCCAAGACCCTGATGCTGGCCCTAGGAAGATGTCCAGCCAAGACCATGCTGCCGGATCTAGCAAGATGGGTGACCAAGACTCTGGTGCCGACTCAACCCAGGTGGATGAGCAAGCTCCTGGTGCTGGCCCTAGCATGATGGGTGACGAAGGCCCTGGTGCAGGCCCCAGCAAGATGGGCGACCAAGACTCGGATGCTGTTCCTCGCCTGGCCAGCCTGGACTCCGCTGCTGGCAAAAGCCGTCTCTACGCCGCTCGGATGGGCCGCTCCGCGAGGACTCTGTCTTTCAACTTGGAGTCAATCGACCTGGACCCAGCTGCAACGAACCAGGTAAATTGCAGCAGTGAGTGAGGAGTGAGAGTGAGTGAGGAGTGAGAGTGAATGAGGAGTGAGTGAGTGAGTGAGTGAGTGAGTGAGTGAGTGAGTGAGTGAGTGAGTGAGTGAGTGAGTGAGTGAGTGAGTGAGTGAGTGAGTGAGTGAGTGAGTGAGTGAGTGAGTGAGTCAGTCAGTCAGTCAGTCAGTGAGACAGCCAGCCGGCTTGCTAGAAATCGGTGTCCGCTCTTCATTTGCTTACTGCTTCTATTCCGAATACGAACAAAAGCACAGCGCCGCCCAAGACTGCACAGCGTATCGTAGAATAAAATAGGGGGACCCGGATCGCCCGAGATCGGCAGAAAACTCTTCCTAATTAGCTACGCTTTGCACGGCATTACGGCGCGACGGCGCGGCAAGGGAAGAATAACAGCGCCTCTTTGGCAGGTTCAGGTGGATGACGGGCAGCTGTGGACAGAAATAGGGTACGCGGACGCAGCTGAGTGGACATGATTCCTTCTTCTCACTGGAAAGCAGGTCATGCCGTTCGAAGAAAAACGAAACCAAATAGAGAGCAAGAAAAGGGACGTATGGACGTAAGGAACGGTGAAGTGGGTCCAGAGTACACGTCCCTAGCCCCTTCCTGATGCAAGCCCTCTACGCTCTGCCCCGTCGCGGTCGCGCTCTGCCCTGCCACTTGCAACTCTGCGGCCTGCCCAGTGAACGGGTGGCCGCCGTGCCTGCACTGCAAAACCAAACAGAGGCTACTACGCACCATCTGATGCTGTCAAATAAGTGTCATTTTTTTTTCAATTTTTCAAGAGCTTTGTCTTGTGTTGCAGAAGGACTTCTTGGCTCCCCGTCCTCCAACCCCAGCCCCTTCCTCTGGCAACAGCTTCGTCAGCTGGTTCTCTCGGATCGGACTCTTGCTCTCTGCGCTCAATTGCTGCGCGCCTCGCGGGGAGGCGACCTCCAATGCAGGGACGCCACCCACACCTGTTGGTGCTGAGATACTGGGGTCTGCTGCCTCCGGTAACTCCGGTGCCTCCAACATCTCTGCAGGCTCATCCTCGTCTTCATCCTCGGTGTGTGAACGCGCGCCACCCAAGAACTGCTTCCGTCTCTTGTTGCAGGGAAGTCCCTGCACTGGGAAGTCAACCATGGCGCGCAGGTGAGGGTGACTTACCGAATCGTCCCTGGAGTGGCTCTCCTCCACCGCCCAACTGTCCATTTTTCGTTTTAGAGTGAATTCTTTCGCATATGCCAAAAGCATAGGTGCATTTATCCGTCCTCATACGAAACTTCCAGTTTCCTGTCTGAAAAAAGTTTGTCCGCGATTCCCAACTACGATCTACGATCAACTACTAAGTGTTTAAATGGGTGTGCGTCACAGGGAATTTCACTCTGAAACAATTTGAGTGCCGAGGTGTCTGTAATCTTGTTGCAAGGTTCTTGAACCACGATTTGCCGATGTTCTACTCACCCACCATTGAGCAGTACTACTCCATGGTGTTCCGAGTCGAGAAGGAGAGGTTCGAGTTGGACATAGTGGACAAGTCCGGGTACAACCCCTTCCCGGAGGCGCATCGCTTGTCGAACATCACTGGTGCGTGAGGCACTCGGCGTAGACCACAACCACGGCCACGGCCACCACTAGGATTTTGACCTACCTCACTTTTCCGCTGGGCTGAGAAAAAGACTAACAAACACGAAAACCTCACAATGTTGTCATTTGTATGTCAATTTTCGGCAAAGAAAGCTTTATTTTAGCTCTTATTTCGACGCCACGGAGTGCTTGACATTTTGTGACCTTGAGTGTTTGTTAGGACCCTCTCTCCCCTCCCCAAGTTTATCGCAATGCAGTAAGGTCACGGCGGATCGTAACGGCCCCTTGCATCCTGCTACTGGCATTCCCTGTAAGAAATAAATTGGGAACATGCAAAGCTAAACCTCTAGAAAAACTGTTGGTGCAGTGTAAATTTACTGTATTGACAATGTTCAGATTCTTTTTGAGATTACGAAAAATCTTCTCGTAACTGCACATAGAATCTTCGCGGGAGCTAACGTTGATTTGTCGTGGATTTACGATGAATCTTCGCAAAGCACCAAGAAATCTCAACGGTTCCTTCGGCGGCATTTTATCCAGAGGTACCTTTGTCAATTCCTGACATTCATTATTACAGTGAAGTGCTCGTGTGACCTTGACGTTATAGCACAGTAGCTGGGGCTTTCATGAAACGTTTCAAGGACCTGGTTTTTTTCTTATTTTTTACGAGTACCATGGGTTTGCATTGCTTACACCAAACCTCTTGTCGTGGCGCTGCGCCGAGCCTCGCTGCTGGTTGATAACAAACAGAGCTTTCGTTGCTCATTCTCCACCACATCCATGGGCGTCCTAGAGCACGGAAAAAGTGGGTTCCAAGGGGACACCTTGTTTATATTTCAAAGGGGATGGAGCGAATTTTTAAAACTGTCCAAGTTGACATTGCTTTACAGGAATGGATTCGCCTCGATAAGATTCACAAAACATGTGAACACATTTGTGGGGGCCCCAACATTTTGGGGCCCTAGTAGAAGGGTATGAGTTTATGCAATGGAAGGAAATTTTACCCATAAATGGAGACATCTGACAACAGTATTAAAAAAATTTCAAATAGTCACTTTTTTCACTTTACAATAACCTTAACCAAGACTTTAGAAAGTGCTGAAGGTGTGCAGTAGGTTCCTGAGATCATTCTTTGCTTGCTGTTCGATACGTCTGCCTTCCAGGTGACATTTTCCTGCTCGTATTCTCCATGGGCTGCGAAGTCTCTTTCAACGAGGTGAAAAGCATCCGCGAGAGGATCGTGGAGATGCACGAAGGGGCGTGGTACGCCTCCGGCGGGCATCGTACGTCGCGCCTCCGGCCACCCCTGCCAGGCGTCCCCATCATGATCGCCGGCAACAAAGCCGACCTGCGTCATCGGTAAGGACGGAGGGCGGAGATGGCTGGAATACAGCCAGCGACAGCCAGCGGACACTCAGTACTCACTAGGCGCCTCGTGTTGCAGGAGGGTGGATCCGGCCGAGGCGAGGGCTTTCGCGCTCAGCAGGCCATGGTGCGACTTCATGGAAGTCGTCGCTACGAACGACGCCAGTCTGACCGAGCTCTTCAGCGCCCTGATGAGGCTGGCGGGGCTGCCCGAGGAGATGGCACCCGGCCGCCATCACGTTCTCCCACCCACTACCGACGGGACCATTTCGTCCTCTGTCCATACGAAGTATACATCGGGCCCCATGGGGAGGAGGAAACGTATTAGCGAGCCGTGCGCAGCCCAGTACCTAAAGCCGCGCCCGAGTCTCAGGGAGGAATTGCAGGTTTTGCGCGAGAGAAGTCAGCGCCCGCCAGGCTACCACCCGCGCAGCCGCGGCTGCTTCCTGTAGAGCCCAGAACCAGAAGAGGAACTAGGACGGGATACTCTGCCATCGAAGATCAAGGCATCGAGTCGTTATTGTTGGCTGGCGCAAGAACCAAAACTGCAGACTCGTTCCATGCCTATGCACAAGATCAAAACGGCGTTGAAAACAACAATGAACTATTTGGTCAACGACAAGACGGATAGGACGTCTTCAAGAGAAGATGGCTTCAGAATAAGCCTTGTCTTTTTTTTTTAAACTGAGTTTGTAATTTTTTTAGTCAACGTGTGTATTGATTCTTTATTCTGTGATTTCTTTTCCGTCGTATCATAGTGGATTGTTCTACTGCCAAGCCCTATCAAATCCTGCCTTAAAACCCAATGGTCCATACTCTTAAACGACCAATATATTGTTTAATTAAATATATTATTTAACTGAAGATTAGTCTGGACTAAGTTGTGACTTAATTTACCTGATTTTGTGTAAAATACTGATCTTGTTATTCACTGATCAAGTTAATGATTGCACACATATTCACTGATCAAGTTAATGATTGCACACATATTTTACATTCAATACTTTATCCAGTAGCGAGTGAAATATTTGCAGCCAATAAGTGGCATAATTTAAAAATAAACTATTCGTTGTTAGAATTTTAAACCTAAGATTGCTCTGACCAGATTTGATTTCTGTATTACTTTATTAGATCAAAAATTAACAAAATGGATGTATGTTTGATGGCATTATGAAAAAGTATTGTTATTATATTTGTTCTGAGATTGATATTCTGAATTAACTCTGTTCGACTCTGTTTGACTTCTATAGACTAAGACTAACAGAGAAAGAAGCATGTTACATGCTTAAGAGGATACTCCAGAAACATGGAGTCCAACGGCCTATCGGTCAACAATAGAGCACTTACAGTTTTTAAAATTGTTGCTTTTAAAAGATTTGAGACCTTCATGCTTTGATTAGATATATATGCTTAAGAGGATGCTCTAGAAATATGGAATCCAACGGCATATCGGTCGGTCAACAATAGGACACTTACAGTTTTTACATCCAATTTTAAAAGATTTAAGGCCTTCATACTTTGATGTTGATTAGATCTCTCTCTCTCTCGCTCTCCACCTATGTGTTCGCTTGCCGTTATATCGCACAAAGCACTGTAGTGAGTTTTCGTTCAAAGAAACGATTGTTCGAAGAATGAATGTGTAGATATAGTAGAAACTATGAAACTGATACGACGCTTGTTGGTGATCCGTCGTGCTCACTGCCACAAGGACTTTTTCCGGGTGATTCGTCCAACCCCAGGCCAAGCCAACCCCGTGTTCATAGGCATTAAATCACCAGAAATAACTCAATGAGATGTATGACAGTGGTTTGAAATATGATTTTGCATCGTTTCATCGCAGCTAGTCATGGAAGGTTTAATGATGTGATGGTGATATGTGGAAGTGCTTATGAACTTTGTCAACAGCAGACTGATCAAGGGCACTGTAATCATCAATAGTGTTCTACAGTGATTGACTTCTTGTTATAAATAAAGTGACATTTACAAACGTTAAAACAGTAGTATTCTACAATAATTATCTTCTTGTTATTAATGAAGTAACATTAAAAAAACGTTTAAAAAAATCACACCTTAAAAAAAATTATAGAAAGAGACAGCTTTAGAAGTTGTGGCCCTAGTCAAGCTTTTCTTTAGAAGGTATATTAAATATTAAATTGATGACATTTGAGAATTCCCGCCACTTCTTGCCTCATGTTGATGTTGACAACAAGCAAAGTATAAGTATGAGAAATTTTTACGCCGTAGTAGAGGTGGTGGTAGTGGCAGCGGTGGCGCTAGCAGAAAGAAAGTCTTGCTTATACATTATCTTTATAGCTATTTCCTCTTTACAAATCTATGTGGTTATTCTTATTATAAGTGAATGTTAGTTGTTATATTAGATTCATATTCATGATGAATGCTGCATTGTATTGTTCTAGCTTTAGGATTGTTCAGTATGCTGCTGGTCGGCCTTGTATTCAAAACATAACCCGTCTGACATGCCGGCGTTATTTTCAATTTTGTTCGAATCCGGCTCCAAGACACTGCCACTATGGTTCAAGATTGGGAACATTGAGAAATTCTCCCATTCGTAGTTTATCCTCGAAAGGGAACCTATCTGAAGCTGTGGTTTTGTACACTTATAGCAATCCCAAGTTCTTGCGAATGGTCAACATATTTGGATATTCTTTTGGTGCGTTTTGGCTTTTCACCTCTTACCAATTTTCTACAATGCGTATCATTCCTCAATCAGAAAAGAGAACCTCTAATTTACCATGGTTTGCTCGCTTTGATTTGATGAGTTCAACAACATCAAAATTAGTTGCTGCTTTGTTATCATCCTTAATTGGTAGGCCACATTTAAAAATTCCTTTCTAAACTCTTTTGTCTTAAAACGTTTTCTAATGTCTGATGTTATGATTTCAAACTCCCAGGTTGTGCAGTTCTAAGTGGTGCTTGGATCTATTCCCTACGTTCTGTTGGCAAGATAGTATTAGGAAGGGGTGGTAAAACTGTAACTTTTACCACGTATAATCCATTTACTTTTAGCATGAACAAAGCTATCACAGTAAATTTGCCTGAGGTAATCAGACAGTATAACTCTTCTGGATGTTTAGTATCTTGTATAGTTTCCTTAATGCTTTGCTTAGTTCACAAAGTGGTGGTCAGCATTCTGGCTTTGATTATGACTTGGATTCTGTAGAAGGCAATGTAAATGCATCTTTTCTCACTTGCATGAAACAGGAGCTGATGGGAGCGTTTTATTAGTCAAACCTCATGAGACAGAGACAAACCCAAGTCAGAGCTAGAACACTGTCCACCACTTACCCTGATATGACATAAATGTTTGGTTTCAATGTTTACAGGTCAGTTGCCAAGGACACAGGTTAACTAACACTGTTGTTCCTATTAAAATTAAAGACAGATGGATGCACTACCTAGTATCCAATGAAGGATCCTACCATAATGCACCATTATTTGATAAAACAGTAGGATTAAGGCGTTCATTTTAATGTTAGTTGCTTTAAATGTTTGTAGATCATTCTGTGTAACTTATGGTAGCTCCTCATGGTAGTTTTATGTTCTCTTCCATCCTGACTTCCTGCAAATAGCAGCAATGAAAAGTGGCAGGAACTGTCATCATGTCAAAATATGGAATAAAAGAGAATGGAAAATGTCAATTTGTGTCATATAAGTCTTTCTTGTGTTTCTTTCCATACATATATTTTTGGGGGGAAACAATTATTTTATTCATACAAGTAAAAATTTAACCTATGCATGTGATTCATTTGGCGCATTCAGCAAACCTATTCCTCTTGCGCAATATCATACTTTCTCCTTACGTTTCACTAATTATCACATGTCCTTAGTAATAACATTGCGCTGGAACTCATCAAAAGAATGGAACTGTTTGCAAAATAACAAACACACCAGACATTTTAGCAGATTTGAAAATTATAATAGAGGGACATAAAAACCAACAAAAGGTATTTCTTGTGTTAAATTTCTTACAGTAAATTAGCTTTGAACATCTCTTGATTTTAAACCGAAGAGGTTTCTTAAATGTTGGTGAGAGTTCAAATGCTTGGTAAAATGGAGACCCACAATATTTGCTTGAATCTAATGTGCAGCCTAAAGCTGGTTGGAATTGTGGAAGGATTTTGGCACTGCCTGATTATCTGTTATCAGATGCGATTACTCATCTTGGGCTGAGGAGGAAATAACACACTGCTTCAAAGCCATTCCAGCACACCATATTTTGGGGAGCGTCTTTGGATTTATCATACATCAAAATTCCAAAGCAAACACAGGGGAAAAACCAAGGGAATTGGTTGAGAGGTATGTCATGTCAAAACAGAAGGACAATAAAAGATAGCTGTTTTTTTTTAATTTTTTCATTACGATTCTATGATTTTGTTCTGACAATAAATACAATATGTACACAGTAACTGACAATAAGAAAGTATGAACGCCATACCACTAGCTCATTTCACCATATGTAGTCTACAATTTGCAAAAGCAATAATGGACACACTATCAGTCTCCCTTAATTAAATCCAGAATCTTCAATGAAAAAAAAAAAATCTTTTAAAAACCAACATTTACAAAGCAAGTTAATATTTGACCACCTGGACCTCTGATAAAAGATCCCAGGCGATTGATGTAAATTCATATATTGAGAAAGAGACTAGATAGTGACACACGCCCCTGAAAATCCTCGAGCTATTGAAGTACGTTTCGCTTTACTGTATGAGGGGATGCTGTATTGTAATAATGGCATCTATTGTGACGGTTTTAGCAAGTTTAATTAACAGTACTGTTAAAATATAATACTGCCATATCTAAAAATGAAAAACTCAACAACAAGATATGAACAACTGTCAGTGTTTCACATAACAGCCAGCTGAGTGTAAGTTTAGTTCTCATTGTACCAGAATGAATTTTCATTCACCACCAAAGTCCCATAAACTTCCATTTTCTGTTTAATTTAAGTCTTTTATCAGGCATTGACTAGACAAGCCACCTGAAGAACTACAGACATAAAAATCACAAGTCAAATCAAAATATTTTCCTAATTATTTTGATATACATATTATTTTGTGTTTCAACATCACAGACCATTTTGGATTGGAGTCTCCTGATGAATTCACACACTGAAGCATGGCAAAACGTTTAACACAGAGATCATTTTATAACAGCAAGAAATATTTCAATAAACAGATGTAATTATTTCTTTTAAATCAACAACCCAAACAGCTTGCAATGGAAATGGGCAGCCTGACTTAAACACAAATTGAGGCTCTGCTGGTGGCAAGGATGATTCATCTTAAACGTCTAGCTCACACGTCTAGTTTCTTGTTTAAAAGAAATTTCAGTCATGGTAAAATCAGTGCCCACGCAAAAAACGAAATGCCTGCTATGTTTGCTTAGAAGCAAATTTACATCCATTAAGAATGTTCACAATACAAAGCTTCTCATATTGTCAGGTATATTTTTCTTACCACAATATTTTAGAAACACAGATCACTGGACAGAACACATACACAGTGTGGTCCTTCCTTTTGAAATAACAACCACCAGAGGATTAATCCATTTTTCAATTATTTTATTTGTAATTACAATAGTATATCTCAAGATGAATTGCAAAGTGGAATGTACATGGAAACAACAATAAAAAGGTAGAAACCAGCAAAACTCAAACAATTATAAAGTTACTATCGATTATCAAAAGTTATCCTGCCTATGGTACAAGTCCACATAACATCAAAAACACAATCAAATCAAACTCCCAGCAAGTGTGTACTAAATAATCAGACAAATCTTTCGGTTTTAATAACAACATACTACACATCATTTCTTTGCGTGTAAAAAGGTACAATCAAATCTTATTTCAACCTTGCATTCACCAACCCGTTCGCCAAAACTAATTTGATTTACAGTTTTGGGCCATCATGTGAGCATGTTTATGGGTTAATTATTCACAGCCTTGTCGTTAGCAATCCTTTCACAAAAGGGTCCTCCACAGTCACCGTCGTCGAAGGTTCTTTCGGGACCTGGGCTTGGCCCGAGGTCTGCCCACAGGTGGGTTGCTGCTGGCGTGGTTGCGACCCCTTCCTCACGGCACTTTTGGTCCGACCGCTGTGAGGATGAGTTTCCAGCCAGTCTGGCGCCTCGTCTTCCTCGACCAGCGTGTCTTGAGTGCGCAGCGAGGCAAGGCGTTCTAGCTCGGGACAAGCCGATGGCCGGCGCCAGTTACAAGCTCCCATGGCTTCGCCCAGGACGCCTTGCTGGCCATGGGGATGGCGGTCTGCCTGACGCCGCGGCTCACCCTCGGGAACCTCGTTACCCAGCAAGCCAGGGCCGCCCCCTTCCGCCGACGTCCACCCCTGGCCCAGGCCAGCTTCCAGTGCCCCGGCGTCGCCAGGGCCAGGGCCACCAGCTCCATGAGCCTCGCCAGAGTGCCGCCACGGTTCGCCGGGCCGTGTGTTCGGCAGACTGGTGCTGCGTATCACGTGGTCCACCACGCTTCCCTCCACCCAGGGCGCGTCCGTGAAGCTGGCCTTGTTGCTGGCCTTGTTGCTGGCCTTGTTGCTGGACTTGTGCACGGCCTTGAGGGCGTCCGTAGCGCCGTCTCCTCCAGCGGCCCTGCGCCTAGAGCTGCGTTCCTCGCCCCCGAGGGGGCGGAAACGCCCAAGGTTTCCTCAGGACTGCCCCGCAGAGTGGCTGGCCGACTCCTCGCCCGGCATGTCGTCCTCGCCGTCCAGCTTGCCTGCGCCCCCGCACGCGCGGCACTTGCAGCACACGATGCAGGGCGCGGCGAGCAACAGCAGGGGCGACGCCACCAGCAGCAGGATGCCGAAGCCCGCGAAGATGCCGATCACCTGCGTCCGGTGCCAGATGACGGAGGCGCGGCTGTGGCCCAGCTTGTTCTTGCACGGGCCCTTGTCGTAGTGCCGGAGGAGGAAGTCATCCTGCAATCAGGCAGGCGAGGTCAGTGTCAAGCGCCTGCCATCTGCAGGGTAGGCAGGCCCGCCAGACAGCCGTGTCCAGCGGGCCCGCGCGACACCCTACACGCCAGGATTGCGCCGATTGGCCGATTGCACTGTTTGCACTTACGTCCAGCGAGGCGAGGCAGTACCAGCAGAAGACGTGCTTGCAGCGCTTGCACATCATCTGCGCGCAGCCCTCGTCCTTCTCGATGGGCACCTGGCACATGGGGCACAGCTTGATGAGGTCCGAGTCGAAGAGGAGCGGCGGGTCTGGCAGCAGGCCTCGCGCCGCCAGCCGCCGCTGGTTCTCCTCGCAGGACGTGGCGTCCGGGTGCCACTCGGCGCGGCACGCCGAGCAGAAGTCCGTCTCGCAGGAGGGGCAGTGCACCGGCTGCGGCTGGCAGCGCTCCGGCCCGGACCCGCCCGGCCCCGGCACGGCCCCGGAGCACAGCACGCACACCGTCTCGCAGCCCGCCCGCGGGCACCAGGTGCGCGTTGCGTCGCGGTCCACCTCTGCAACAGGGACACGGTTAGACCAAGTTTCTCTGGGTAGGCACTATGCACCACTGACAGCCGGAAGAACTGTGTACGAAAGAATTGCTTTGAGTCCCGTTTGAACCAACCTCGGTTCAGTCGGAAGCGTTTGTGCTTGTCCACCATAGGCTGCTCCACCAGAGTCTCGATCTCCGCCAAGGCGATGACCCCCTGCAGCGCGCACTGCGCGTCCGGGCAGGAGATGTCGTAGGCGCCCTCCAGGATCTCGAACATGACGTACGACTTCATGCACTGCAACAGAAATGGGCATTGAGTGCGGCTGACTATGCGGTCTAAGCTGAACAGTGAATCTTTCATCCACCCGATGTGGCTTCGTTTGCTTTGTTGTGGGAATGAACAGATACAACAAAAGCAACTCGATGCAGCGCACTGTCCGCAGCATGTGAATACTATAGGCAACGGGCAATTTGATGCACAATTCCCCCGCGGTTAGCAATACCGCATACCGCATTTGTTTTGCGTTGAGATCCATTCCGGCCTCAAAACTTTGAATTTTCCTCATTCGCTGTGAGAGGCAGCAAAACAGAGCCGACAGAGCCCCTCCCCTTTTCCCCTTTCCTCCTGCTGAGTCCGCGATGGACGTCTGTGACAATTCAGCAGCATGGCGCGCTGGCAGCCCGCATGGATTGATTCCGGTGGTAAAGGTACAATTCAAAGTAACAAAATATGTTTCCCTTTTGCACCCTAGCGTGCCCCTGACGCACCAGCGTTCCCTCGGCTCGGCTGCAGGCTCGGCCGCAGGCTCGGCCTCTCCATGCCACACTCACCTCGACACAGTATCTGCACTGGCAGGAGGCCAGCTTGGTGGTGAGCGACTCCGGCACGTCCATGAGGCACAGCTTGCACAGCACGTACTCCTCGGGGGAGGACGTCCTTGACGTCCTTGACAGAGGGGTGAAGGAGGCGGCGCTGGCGTGCAGCGAGTACCGCGACGAGGAGGCCAGCGACAGGATGCTGGAGCAGCGCGAGCACACCCTGGAGGCGGACGACGGCTGTCTCAGTCTGTTGACGGCGCGCAGGGGCTCCGTCTGCAGCCGCCCCGTGGTGAGGCACTTGCGCAGCGGCGGGCCCGCCATCCCCGCCATTCCCGGCATCGGCTGCGGCGTCCGGGACAGCGCGCGGTCCTTGAGGAACTGCAGCACGTTGTAGCAGGACACGGCCCTGGCGCGTCCCGCCATCGGCGTCCTGCCCGTGCTGCCGCCCACCGCGCTGTCGCAGGACCGCTGCCGGGAGAGCAGTGGGGCCACGTCGGCGAGGCCGTCGGCCAGCCCGTCGGCGCTCTTGACCCTGGACAGGCTGAGGCCGCCCAGGCCGAGGCTGGCGGCGCTCAGCTGGCGGCGCAGGGGGTGCTGCGGGTTCGGCGACACCTCCTCGCTGGGGTGAGTCAGCACCGGCGGCGAGGGCTTCGGGGAGGGCTTCGGGGACGCCGACGGCGTGGAGAAGAAGGCGGCCCGCGCCAGCTGTGCTGCCGTCCGCGGAGACGGCGTGGCTGGCGGCGAGGTCGCCTCGGGTGGCGGTGCCCCGACCGGAGGCGGACCCACGCCCCCGGGGGCCGGCGGTGCCGGCGACGACGCGGACATGGTCCCTTTGCGCCGGTTCAGCAGGGCGCGGAGCGCAGGCATGGGGCATGGGGCTGGGGCAGTCTCGGGGCACCGCCCCCCGCGCGGCCCCCCAGCGCCCCCGCCGAGGGGCCCCAGGAAAGACTCGCGGTCCTCAGGGTGGACGAGGCCCACTGTGAGGCCGGGGCACCACGAGCAGGGCCGCGGACGTGGCCGAGGACGGGGCCGCGCTGGCCCGGTGGACGACTGCAGACCGCAGTCCACGCACTGGCGGAGCACCGCGCCGTAGCCCGCATGCGGCGAAGCAGCGCGGCAACCCCTCAGCAGCGCCTGCAAGACAGAGAGGACAGCGTTGTTATCACAGACCTATGCAGGGCGATGCTCAGATAGCTATCGGCGAGCGCGATGGCCTTGCCTGGCCTTGCCTGGCCTTGCCTGGCCTTGCCTGGCCTTGCCTGGCCTTGCCTGGCCTTGCCTGGCCTTGCCTGGCCTTGCCTGGCCTTGCATGGCCTTGCCTGGCCTTGCCTGGCCTTGCCGCACCCATCCCAGTAGCTTAGTGGCGTCCTCGAGATGGACGACCAGCAGAGCGAATCTTTTCTCTGCGTCTTTTGAGAGCGTCCCCAAAACCAACAAAAGATATTCGAACGTCCTAACGCGTAACGTATTGTGTACGCATCCGTCGAAAACACTTAGCAGTGGTGTGAAGGTTAGCTGAAGGTCAGTGGAGCGGAGGCAGACCACCGCCGAGGAAAGTCTAAAGCAGTATCCTTGGGGTTACGCGACATTTTGCTATCCACCAAATACGTGCCTGTGAAGGGCAAGCCCGGCAAGGCCGGCAAGGCCGCGAGCGGTGCCGCCAAGCAGCAAGCAGCACTCCCGGGCGTCGCGAGCACCGTGAGCACCGTGAGGCCCTTCCTCCGACGGGGCGAGCGGCGCCGAGTCTCACTTCGTGGCGCTCAGCAACAGCGTCTCGTCCGTTTCATTCTCATTGGCCGTCAGTGATGCTTTATGTGGCCCAGGTCCAGTCTGCCAGAATCACACTTAGCATTTGCACAGGCATAGACTTCACCGAGACCACTAACCACCACTAACCAAGCCTCGACTCCTCCAGCCTGCAGCAGCTGCTTGCCACTGCCTGCAGACCTGCAGACTTCAGACGGAGGTGAGCTAGCGAGCTGAGACATTGTTACTGAAGGCGCAGACCCGCGGCAACGCGAGCATCGCGAGCAAACTGGAGCAAACTCACAGCCGCTCACAGCGGGCGAGCGCACGGATCATGTTCGCACAACGATTGGATCTCTCGACCCGAACGACATCTCCTTGCAGCACTGCAGCCTCTCTGCCAGCACCCCGACTCCAATTTGGTTCCGAACGATGCCACAGGGGAGGAACATTTTTCTTGCCGCCTTTCCCATTGCACAGGATTCTCCTCGATACATTTCAGTTACTTTTAAATTCTGGTTGAAGGGTGCAGGAAGGTGCCAAACCTAACCAGCCCCCGCCCCCTTTTCCGCCATGGCCCGCGACACACATAGCAACCTGTGGCAGCTTCTGGCGATGCGGAGTGGCTGCGAAATTCGGGTAGAATTCGGGCCGACCTGGGCACCGGGGCAGGCGGTGCATAGTTAGCCAAACTAACCGGATGCCCCGGGGCTGGGCGCTCCTAATTAAAACCGATGCTGGCATCACACCGCGACAAACAGCCTCGAGCAGGGGGGGGGGGAGCCTTGTGCGCGCCTCTCTACCCCAAACCACGCACAAATCACGCACTGCGGCCGGATAAGGTTATCATAAGATTATATGCAACATCTCACAAGAACCAAGAGAAGTCGTACAAAATCGTCTCTGGGGGAGAACTGTCTCTTCTCGTGCTAGAGAATCACTTTCAGACAGCTCGTTTTTTTTTGCATTGGGAACAAAGAGAGGGTATGAAACGCAAAGTAATGGGCATTCCAAAATTCCCACAACACACTCCACCCACCCGAGCACCGAGACTAGCGCCTGCTGTGGCCAGGGTAGGCCTCCCGCACAGCACCTGCGCGCTGTAAGGGTATGGCTGCCTACCCGGCATTACCATTACCATTACGGGCTAGACCACAATTGATCGTATGCCGTTTCCGGCCCGACACATCGAACGAGCCAACATCATCCTAGTCGCCACTGACCGCAGAACAAAAGTTTCTGTAAATGCACCTGATGCATAACTGTGCTTGAAAAAATGCCATATTATGCGAGAAATTATTATTTACTATATTCGACTATATTAAACCAGGAAATGAAAACTATCGGAATGCGACGTTCTATTCTCCTTGTTTTTGATTAAGCCACGATTAGAATAGTGTCTTGTTTGAGATTCTGTGCCATACTTCAAAGCTCCAGTGCTAAATATCAGTACCTGTACTAAATTTTTTAGGTCGAGTGGTCTTAATTTGTAGCCCGGTACCAACCACGTTCTTGCCCCTGGTAAGCCCAGCTGAATGACCGTACAAACTTGTTGAAAAACGAAGTTTCCTGGGCCTGGTTGGGGGTTTCAGTTTATTTCTTTGCGTGCAAGGGGCTGTCGCACGTGCCTCACCACTCACCTCTTGCTCCTCAGCCGGCGGGGGCGGGGCGGGCGGGGCGGGCGGGGCGTCCGGCGGGGCGGGGGCGCGCCATCTGGAACAGGCACAGATGGTGAGACTCCATCACTGGAAGCTGGCTGATTGCGGAAAGGACAAAGCTGCGTCTCTCTCGCACCCTTCCAGAACGCCCCAAGTCCCAAGAATGCTCGAGACAGACAGGCGGCAGGTTGATCAAAACGAGCCTAAAGGTGCGTTGGAAAAATCCAGCCGGCCGCTCGTCCCTGTTGCATATTTCAGACGAGGGGGACAGAGACCCGACCGGGAGCGAGAGACTGCCGGTTAGATTTTTCCAGCACGGCGAGTGTTTATTTTCCTTGTGCCGGGGAATGTTTGCGCGCGATGTTGCCGGCCGGCCGGCGCTGCCGCGGCGCCGTGCGCTGTGCGCTATGGCGGCAGCGTTCTCCAGCGGCGTGCCGCGGCCGGCTGCGGCGTACCAGGCAGCGGCCAGGCAGCGGCCTGGACTCGGACGCGGCTTTCTTGCATGCGTTCCTCTGCGTTCCTCTGCGTTCCACTGCGTTCCGCTCCGCCGCAGCCGCCTGCTCTTCTCGCTGCCGGCCATTTTGAGGTGGCATTTTGATTCCCCACCGCTGCCGTCGCCGCGCTGCGCCGCGCTCGGCCCGGCGGCCCGGCTTCCTGGCTGTGGTCGTCGGGTCGGCACAGTCGGCGCCACGCAGAGCCGCCGCCAACCACCAACCAGCACCAGCCAGCGCCAGGCAAAACGCTGTCTAATTCATCGCACCGTCCCGTCCGTCCGGACCGACTGCCGACTCCACTTCCAGCCGTTTGGCGCACACGTCCACGCCCCGCCCCGCCCCGCTGTCCCCCACAAGGTCACCTCCCTGGCCGCGCCGTGCCGCCGCCGTGCCGCCGCCGTGCCTCCGTGCCGCACCGAGCGCTGCTTGCTGCGCGGCCGCGCGGCCCGGCTCGACTCTTGGAGTAATACTGTGGGGAGTCCTAACTGGCGCGGCGGTGGGCCGAGCTGTCCTGACGAATGCTAGAGAGAGAAAACCACTCGGCCGGAAAGGCACTCCGTGAAACCGACCGAATTCATCGATGCTGATTACATCCCGTCCATCTCCTTCGCCTTCTAAATCCATTTTTCAAAACCAGAACTTTCTAAGTTGACCCAGTCAGGAGCTATATGGTGGCAAAGTTCAGAAACTATCTCTTTCTCTCTCTACGATTCGCCGGACACCTAGTACCACGCACAGAAACGCCCTGAACTCCGAAACGGTATGGGTTAGCTCCAATCTGTTTGCATCCCGTAAATCCTCACTCTTTTTGTGACAAGATGAGCTATTGGGAAAGTCTCTAAGTTGAAAATCAAGCCTTCAGGGCGTTGGCAAACAGAAAGGTGCAGCTCTAGTTAGGACTCCCTAACAGTATTACTCCAAGCTCGACTCGACAGGTCGCACACGGCAGGTCGTGCACGCGGCACGCGGCGGCGGCGCTTTGAAGAAGCGACTGATCGGTAGGGCGGATTTAGGTCTACTTGCTTCGATCTGCAGTGCGCCGCACGCCGTGCTTTCCAACGCGGTGTCCTCCAATCACGCGAGGAGAAGGGAGGGGGAGGGGGAGTTTAGTATGCACACTCTGTCATGGAGTGTTTCAAATTTCAAGCACATCCATGATTTATAAGCTTCATCTAAATACCGCTTCTGCCTTTCCATCAGTCACAAACCGTAATTACTCACCAAACTCGGACCATTCATTCCAACCGCCCACCCGTGGGGACCGCCATTTCTCTTTTTGGCTCACGCGGCGATAGAAGCACACAATGCGAAATCTAACATGTAACGCTCTATCCGTGGGGATTCCAAGTAAACACTTTTTCTAGAGTTTCTCTACAGAAACAACGTCGTAATTTTCCAAAACTTTGTGGAAAATATATCTTTTGGTTCATGTATAATAAATTATGTGGGAATCACGTTAAAGAGTGATGCCCGGTCCCCGTAGGTCCGATATGCGTGCCGGTTCGGTCTCTGCCGGCCGAAACATCAATTCCTTTTGAACCGTCCTCCAGGCGGAATATTCCGTGCTGCACGGCACAGGGGCCGCCGATAAGTCGCACAGGCAGACGCGGCCATACGGGCGGCGTGTCCGCGACGTGTCCGCGGCGTGTCCGCGGCGTGTCCGCGGCGTGTCCGCGGCGTGTCCGCGGCGTGTCCGCGGCGTGTCCGCGGCGTGTCCGCGGCGTGTCCGCGGCGTGTCCGCGGCGTGTCCGCGGCGTGTCCGCGGCGTGTCCGCGACGCCCTCAGTGACGTCCTCCGTGACGTCCGTGAGAGACTCCCACACGGACGACGAGTCTGCGGCCCCGCAAAGGGCCACCAGTGTGAGAAGCACCGCATGCACTTTCTCGATCGCAAAGAAAGCTTGGAACATCGGGAAAACAAACAGCACGTTTTTAATTTTTTTCAAATTGTGTGCACGGCGGTGTTTCCG